ATTGTATATTTCTGATTTTTTAATCAAAAAATCAGGTGTCCATAGATGTGTGGATTCATACTTGTGTCTTTGAATTGATTCAGTTGATCAACCTGTTTGTTTTTATGCCAATACCATATTTTTTTATTTCTGTTGCTCTATAGAAGAGCTTAAAATCAGTAATGTGTACAGGATTATGTTAGCTATCTTGTTTTTTATTTTTCCATATGATGTTGAGAATTGTTCTTTCAAGGTCTGTAAAAAAATGTGTTGTAATTTTGATGGAGACTTCATTGAATTTGTAGATTGATTTTTCCAAGTTGAAGTTCTTGTCATACAGGTCTTTCACTTGTTTGATTAACGTTACCTCAAGATATGTGATATTATTTGTGGCTATTGTGTAAGGTATTGTTTCCTTGATTTCTTTTTTGGATCATATGCCATTTGTATATAGGAGGGCTACTGATTCTTTTATAGTTAACCTTGTATCCAGCTACTTTGCAAACGTATTTATCACCTGTAGGAGTTCACGATAGGATTTGGGGTTGCTTATGTGTACTATCATATCATCATGCCTGCCTTCTTCAGAATCTTACCATCTCCAAGTGGGCATTGTTCTCGTTCCTGGGCTCACACAGCTCTCAGCCATGCTCTTCCCTGATCCTGTTGTTTTATTCAGATCATCCTCATTAGAGTGTAAACCAGTGTCTCCTCCTGTTTATGTGTTCATGTTATTCACTTTCAGTAACGCTTTAGTCAATGCTTATGGATTTATTTTTACTAAATTTTAGAAATCTAATACATAGCATATGATAAGAAATATCATCTAATTTAGAAGTTTAATGCCCATTATGTACCACTTTTAAAGTGGTACACCTTTAAACCCCACTCCATAGAGACTGTCATGGTTTCTAACCATCTTGCATTTCCTACATCAATAACTAAAGGAGTGAAGGGGGTTGCTTTGGTGTGACTCATGGAGTTATGGCCAGTAGTCATCTTTGCTGACAGCCTTGGTCCACTAGAGGGCACAGCAGGCTTGCCAAAAATTATTTTCTGAACCGCCTTAAGGGTTGGGCTGTTAAAGAGAACATGTCACAGCAAAGTTTATAGACTGTCAGTTAGATATGTTTTCACAGTGTTCTCTGCTCTCAAATTATTATTCTATAAAGGCTTTAGAGAGACACGCTGTTCAGAGAACAGAAGAGATGATCCAATGGTTCAATCAACTGCAGACTCTTCTGATTTTCTAAAGGAATGAGGTCTCTCCTATTACATGCAATGCCCATCTATGTGGTCTCTGGGAGCTCTGCAAACACCAGAATTAGTGCTTATCCATTTTGTTAGTGAATTAATACAAAATGCGAGCTTATATATGGGCCTGTATGCTGCTGTATAACATCTGGGACGGTTGTTACAATCTTCACAGTTTAGAAATTCTCATTCTAAAATTTGTAAACTTGAAGCCACATTGCAGTGCAAATGTCCACAGGCCTAGAAAGAGATGTGAAGTTTCGAATGAGTCAATTATGAAAAGAAAGATAATGTTTTATCTCTTTTATTAATTTTTTTGAGATTTTCGTTCATGCACTTTGCTTGAATTCAGTTCTCCACAATTCTTAGCAGATCCACTTTCCTTACTCACCCATTTTCCCCCTCTCATGTTTTGTAATATCAAAAGAAAATCTCCATCCACAGTTTATGTTTTCCACCACTCTTGGATGTTTGGCCATCCCTGGGCTGTGAATGTCCTACTGGATCCTTTAAGGTTTAAAGAAAACAGATTTCTGCTCACCTACTAGCTATCAGATGCCAATACCCACTTGGTTAGGGAAGCACTTTGTGTTTATGCTCTGTGCTGGAATTTTGTGTAGCTTGAGCTTGTTTATGTCTTCTGCATACTATTCCAACTGCTTTGAGTTCATACAAATTACTTTGCCATGTAACTGAAGATTCAGTGATAAAATATATAAGTAAGAATTCTGGTTTACCTCTAAATTATGGCGATTTGAAGGAAAATTTCCCAACGGGCATGTATATTAACAGGCTTTGTCTCCAGTTGATGAACAGGTTGGAACACATTTAGAGGTGTGTGCTTGTTTGGAGGAAGTGAGGGAGAAGGTGTATCTCTGGATGTGGGCTTAAAGTTTAAAAAGCACATGCATGAGTGTTCTGTCCACATTTGTGTTTAGGTACTATGTGTGTGCTTGCTGCTAAGGAGGTCAAACGAGAGAGTCAGATCTCCTGGAGTTACCAATGGTTGTCAGCCATTGTGAGTCTTCTAAGAATCAAACCAGCCGTCCTCTGTGAGTGCTTTAAGTGCTGAGCCATCACTCTAGAGACACACAGTTTCTTTATACAAATTTGATTAAGGGTAAATAAAACAAACTTGTAAAATCTACTTCTTGCCATTCAATTTGTCATATTGTAAAGACCCAAACAGAAAAAAAAAATGCCAGTTGCTCCACTACAACACTCATGTTAGAATCCTAAGAATGACAACATTGACTTTGTTAATAGCCATTGCTAGTGTTCTTTACATTGGTAAGGGCTGCTAGATGTGTGACATGTGCCTTATGAATGATTTCTTTTTTACTAAGTTTATATCGTATGTGTATAATGAACATACGTACATGGTTCACCTATTCCCTCTCTTCCTTTCTTTTTTTAATTGATATTTCTTGAGCTCTACATTTTTCTCTGTTCCCCTTTCTGCCTCTCCTCTCCCCGTCAACCCTCTCTCAAGGTCCCCAAGTTCCCAGTTTAATAAGAAGATCTCGTCTTTTTCTACTTCCCATATAAATTAGATCTCTGTATGTCTCTCTTAGGGTTCTCATTGTTGTCTAGGTTCTTTCGAATTGTGATTTGTGAGCTGCTTTTCTTTGCTTTATGTTTAAAAACCACTTATGAGTATATGTGATAATTGTCTTTCTGGGTCTGGGTTACGTCACTCAAAATGATGTTTTCTAGCTCCTTCCATTTGTCTGCAAAATTCAAGATGTCGTTATTTATTTATTTTTATTTTTCTGACATTGTAGAAAAAAGAGCACAAATTTTAAGTCACTTTACTTCCCAAGAATAAACGGTGGCATCACAGTTCCTAAGGCTGGAGAAATATTCATCTTTAGTGTCACCCAAGTAATATTCTCAACTCTTCCCATCCATAAATGATGAAATGATGAACCTATGAAAGTGATGTACACTGACAATGATCTTGTGTTAGGAAACTACTCCCCTGGCGGACAGAAGTTAAACTAAGGTCTGTCTCTTGCTTACACCCCAGAAGTCTCTCATTCTTGAAATCTACTACTATGATGAACACTTCTCCAGCTTTAGGAACTGTGATGCTACTGTTTATTCTCGGTAAGTGAGTGACTTAAAATTTGTGCTCTTTCTTCTATGATGTCAGAAAATCATTTAATCATGTAAGAGTTTTTTCCTTAATGTGTCACAGATATTCTCTTCTTCCTCCAGAAAGAAGCCATGGAGACTCAGTGACCCAGAAACAAGGTCAAGTGACTCTCTCAGAAGATGACTTCCTATTTATAAACTGTACTTATTCAACCACAAGCTACCCGACTCTTTTCTGGTATGTCCAATATCCTGGAGAAGGTCCAGAGCTGCTTTTGAAAGTCACAACAGCCAACAACAAGGGAAGCAACAGAGGTTTTGAAGCTACATATGATGAAGGATCCACTTCCTTTCACTTACAGAAAGCCTCAGTCCAAAAGTCAGACTCGGCTGTGTACTACTGTGCTCTGAGTGACACAGTGTCACAAACCACAGGGGGAGCTGAGCACAAACTCAGAGGAGCCAACGGAAGCCTAATTTCTGATCATCTGCCTTGGATCTCTCTATTTTTCACAGTCTGAGCTATGTTCCCCAATATTTCTCTGGGTGGGTGTTACCACAGCTGGATTTCAATGGAGAAACTGTAGCTCTAGGACATCAGTGGTTCCTCATAGAGGGTCACACTGACTTTACAGGACAACCAGAGAAACAATGAGGTGATCAGGTGTCTTGATCTTCATAAATAATTTGATTTCTTCATATTGTTGCATGTCTCCCCTGTCCCAATTTATTCACATAGGGCTAAATATGCCAGAAAATGTGGCATCTCAATCATGTCTACCTAATACTGTGAAAGTACAGGTTACCAGAGGGCTCCAGCCTTTCCAGACTTCAGAGTTTCTAATAAAGAGATATAGCTAAAAAATAAATGAGAAAGGGAGGCCAGAGGAAGTATGCTACCTTCAGAGTTTCAATGTCCCCCTCGATAAATTCAACCCCAGTCTCATCCCAGCTCTGTAGCAGATCACCGGCTGTGGCCTCTCCTCTCATTTCCCCCCATTCCCAGAGCACTCAGAAGATCATGATGGCACACCCTGATTTCCTACCTACTGTGGACATTCTTACCCCACCCATCTTCTAGCCCATCTCTATGCCCAATTTTCAGCTTACAATATCAAGAAACACATTATATCCGAAACTATAGTCATATAGTCACACTGGGAAGGACCTCAGATGCATTTCTTACCATGCAATCTCCAGCCTCCCCATTCTCCTCATGACAGGACATGGCAACAGAAACAAAAACAAACAAACAAATAAAAAAATGGAACAAATATCCAACAAATACAAGGCCAAATATCAGAATTACAGCATTTCCAAACCCAGATGCTTAGATTCCACCATAAAAACAACCAATAACAAGTCAGAATGATATGTCTACAGTAAAGCTCAGAAACCACACTACAGAACACCCTGAAACACGCAATGTAGCTGAAGCATAACACAACTACTTCAGAATGGACTTCATGACTATGTTAGAGGTTTTGAAAGTGGAAATGATTAAATTCCTTAAGAAAACCTGTGAAAACACAAACAAACAATAGAATGAAATGAAGAAAACAGCTCAAGACTTACACATGGCAAGAGAATAAAAAATGAAAGCAAATACTGAGGGAAAATTGGAAAGCAAAACTGTAATTCAAACAGGAAGTTCACGGCTGCAGAAATGGCTCAGTAGTTAAGAGCACTGACTGCTCTTCCAGAGGACCCAAGTTCAATTCCCAGCACCCACATGGCAGCTCACAACTGTCTGAAAATCCAGTTCCAGGGGACCTGACACCTTCACATCAATGCACATAAAATAAAGATAAATAAATCATAAAAATTTTAAAAAAAACAGGAAGTTCAGAGGTAGCCTTACTCTACCATATAAGAGATGGAAGAAAGAATTTCAGCCATTGAAGACCTGAAAGAAGAAATGGTTACCATGAACAAAGTGAATGTTAATCTAAAATTATCCAGGCACAGACCATCAAGGATATATAGAAACTTTGAAAAGACCAAATCTATGATTAATAGGAACATAGGAAGTAGAAACTCAAGTCAAAGGCACAGAATATATTTTCAACAGAATCATAGAAGAAATTTACCCAACCTCCGAAAAAGAGGAACATATCAAGCTAAAAGGAACATACAGAATACCAAATATACTGAACCAGAAAAGGACATATCATGGTGTGTAATGTGCAAAACAAACAAAATTTGTCATTTATTTTTGTTACATAATATTTGTTTAACTAGGAAATACATAGTAAAACCCAACATTGCTATCACAAAATAGTCAATTTTGGGTTAAGCAAATCTGTCCAATACAGCTATTTGTGCCTATTATGTGTCAAGCCATAATCTAAAAGACAGTATGCAAAGAGGACAACATTGTTGTTTTGGTAGTCTTGATTCCATGTTGGCTTCCTTTTCATGGGTTGCTCAACCCAGGACCATCTGTCCATGATTGGTACCACTCACAATTCCTTTGACAATTCCACATCAATCATTAATTTTAAAAAGTCCCATTTTCACACCCATAGTCCAATCTGATGGAGGCAAATCCTCAGCTGAGGTTCCCTCTTCTCATATGACACTAGATTATGGTCAAGTTGATCAAAACTAACCAATAATGTTCACTCATTTTCAACCTGGCACACAACTGCATCAATATTAAACTGTATACTATTTTATTTTCCCCCAAGATTCCATACTTATACAAGAATGTAAAGAACAGTAAAACTTTAAATGTTCCACAGTCTTTCAAACTCAAACTTTTGTAAAGTTCACTCTCCTTAAAAATATCCATCTAGAGCCAGACGTTGGTGGCACATACTTTTAATCCCAATATTCAGAAGGCAGAATCAGGGAGCTATCTCTGAGTTCAAGGCCATTCTGCTCTACGGAGTGAGTTTCAGGACAGCCAGAGATATACAGAGAAACCTTGCCTTGTCAAACCAAAAACCAACCCAACAAACAAACAAAACCATAAAGCTCTTTCCAGGTCCTTCCTTCACATTTCCTCTCAACTTCATGTAGGTATTTTTTCTTTATTACTCGTGAAGTTCAATTTGTGCTGCCCACTAAAAACAGGCATGGGGGCACCCACAAAAGCATCATCAGCTACTATATATCATACCACTAAAGAAAACTGACTCTTACCCCTAGAAGCTATCAACCACTAATAGCTGCTCAGCTAGTGGTGGGGGCCCATAAGTCCCTCTCTAGTCCATGCCGCCATGTTGACTGGTTTAATCACCTTTAAGTCTTCTTGTTCAGGCAGATACAACTGCTATGGCTTCCTCAGTATAATAGTTCTGTCATATTCTGAAGACACTATTTCATTCCTGACGTATGTCTCTTAAAACCTCCCTATACAAATTTTTGTGATGTTTCCTGAGCTTTCTGGGGAAGTGTTGTGATATAAATGTTGTACTTATACCTGTGTGTTTCACTGACACTTAATCTTAGCTCTTTGACCAGTTGTGAGCCTAATCTTGTTTTATTGGTGGTTAATACAAACCACTATTTGCTGCACAAAAACACTTCTCTAGTTAGGACTGAATGTTGCCTAATCTATAAATATGGTAAAAGTAGAGGGAAGTTTGATACTAGGTCAATTTAGCAAAAACAATAGTCATAGATTTTCCCCTGAGGTCTATAAAGTGCATAGGTATAGGTTTTTGTCAAGATTTATAGTAAGGGGTGTTGAAATAGGAGCGGCAGGGCTGCGTCCCCGGCACCCGGCCACCCGCATGGCAGGCTTATGTCCCGAAATAATTACACGGAAACTGTATTCTTTCAAACACTGCCTGGCCCGGCTAGGTCCAGTTTCTTATTGGCTCTTACATATTGTTCTAACCCTTTTCTAATATTCTGTGTAGCCCATGAGTTGGCTTACCAGAGAGGATCTTAACCTGCGTCTGTCTGGAGTGGGAGCATCATGGCGACTCACTCACTCAGCTTCTTTTTCCCAGCATTCTCCTCTGTCTACTCCGCCTACCTAATTTTCTGTCCTATGAGGGCCAAGGCAGTTTCTTTATTATTAACCAATGATTTCAACAGATAAGATACAAGACCCACCTCCATCATTTCCCCTTTTTCTGTTTAAACAAAAAAGAAAGGCTTTAACTTTAACATAGTAAAATTACATATAACAAAACAGTTATCAAGTAAGAATTACAGTTACAATATTTATATCTATTTTATCTCTTACCATAACTATGGAAAACTATAACTATTCATTCTTCAACTCCATCAAAGACTCCAGAAGGATATAATAATACTTAAGTAAACAAGAAATCCAAAACTCTAGAAATGACAGAGACATCTTGCTGCCTGGACAGTCACCCAAAGCTCCTCTGTACCATTGGGGCACCCATCTTCAGCCTACAGGCCCATGGTATCCAGAGACATCTCCATGAAGCAGGAAATTTTAAAGACAGTTCAGTCATTTTCTGCTGTGTCCTGCAGAATGTCT